TCAGATTACATTTCAAGAGTTTTGGCTATTGTCAATCAAATGAAAAGATATGGTGAAGAGTTGAAGGATGATAGGGTCGTTGCAAAAATACTACGATCCCTAGATTCAAAATTTGATTATATTGTTGTTGCTATTGAAGAGTCCAAAGACTTGGACACCATGACCATAGATGAACTTTCGAAAGAAGAATCGGTTGAAAAGGCGTTGCAAGCAAAACTTTCCTTCAAGGAGAAAGATGAAAGGCGTGGTGCGCAACAAAGAGGTCGTGGAAATGGAAGAGGTCATGGTAGAGGAGGAAGAGGTGGTAGTCAACCACCAAATAGAGACAATAAAAGCCAAGACTATAGTCAAAGAAGAGATCGCGGAAGAGGCAAAGGATGGAGACAAAATCAAGGAAGGTATGACAAATCGAATGTTGTATGTTATACTTGTCATAAATTTGGACATTATTCTTGGGAATGTAAAGATAATTCGGAGGATAAAAACAACTTTGTGGAGAGCAAAAATGAAGATGAAGATGCCACTCTACTTCTTGCATGCAAAGGAGAAGAAAGTGTGGAAAAGAACAAATGGTACCTTGACTCCGGTGCAAGTAGTCATATTTGTGGAAAGAAAAATTTATTTGTGGAGCATAACGAGCTGAATGGTGGCCCAATCACTTTTGGAGACTCTTCGCGAGTTCAAATCAAAGGAAAAGGTACGATTTTAATTCGCTTAAAAGATGGAAGTCATCAATTAATCTCCAATATTTTGTATGTACCGGAGACGAAAAGTAATATTTTAAGTTTGGGACAACTTTTGGAGAAAAATTATGACATTCATTTGAAAGACAAAAAGTTGTATATGAGAGATAAAAAGGGAAGATTGTTAGCCAAAGTACCTATGGCTAATAATAAAATGTTCATCTTATATCTTTAAAATGATGTTCCGAGGTGCTTGCTTTCATGTGCCAAAGATTCATCTTGGCTTTGGCATATGAGATTTGGTCACTTGTATTTTGATAGCCTAAGGTTGATGAAGAAGGAAAGCATGGTGAATGGATTGCCAACAATTGATCATCCCAACCAACTTCGTGAAGGATGTCTCTTTGGAAAGCAAGCAAGAAAAAGATTTCCTAAAGAGTCTTTAACAAGAGCAAGATGCCCTCTCGAGTTAATTCACATGGATGTGTGCGGACCTATCAAGCCATCTTCACTTGGTAAAAGTAATTATTTTTTACTTTTCATTGATGATTTTGCTTGCTTTGTGTTTCTCAAACATGATGCAAGTTTCTATTGTTTTTGTAGCACTTCTGGAGGCTTTTTGGTTTATGTCCCCCTTCTCTTATAATTTTTGATCTATTAATACACAGGGTAGGGGTCAAGCCAACCCCCCCCCCCCCCAACAATCCATGATATGCTAGCCTGGGTGATTGGAATAAATAAATAAAAACATATGACGGTGGTACAATTTGAAGTAACAGCTTGTGGACCTAGTTGTTTATTTTTACCCTACCATGTCATGAAGATCCTTCTTATGGACAAGAACTAGTGTTGAATGATCAGTGATCCTCCGTAATAATTTCATATATAATGTGGTGCCTCACTTTTAACAAAGACTTGCTGAACGGCTTCACACTTGAAGACTTACAATAGTTACACTTGGGCACAAGTTGATTACCAAATGTTGAAACGATTTCATCAAAAGGCAGATTTGTTGTAATGGTCTCCAATTAAGAAACGAGATCTTGAAAAGGATGTCTTTATGCCATACCTTGTTGATAGTCACCTCTCCGACGAAATACTCAACTTTCTGCCATGCTGAACTATTAGAATAATGACCATCACTGGGGGTATCCAAATAGCATAGCAAGGAAGGTTTTGGGTCACAAATGTCAATTTTCGGTATGTATTGCACCAAGTGGTAAGGGAGAACTTCATTCAGCTTCCGGACATCCCATGTCTTCCCCTCCATATATCGTCCTACTAACATATTTGATGACGGGCAACATTCTGCCAAAGCACACCTGTCCAATTATCCCGCCAAAACTGCTATTACCTTTCCTTATATGCCATACTATATTGACATCTGCTTTTTGTTTGACCTCCATAAGTTTTCTCTATGAATGTGATTGGCCTATGCACTTTTCCTTTGCCACAGGTTGTACCCTTGTGCAATACTTAGCTCTTAGGAAACCTGCCCAATGAGAGTGTTTATTCTAAAGTTCCATAATCTCTTTATGGAAAAAGTACCCTCAGTATCCTCCATTTTCCTAATGCCAATCCCACCCTCTTATCCTAGAACTTAACTTGTTCCAAGAACTCCAATGATATTTAGATTTCTCTGAATCAGCCCCCTAGAAAAACCTAGCAAAATATTTTTCCCTTAGGCTAAAGGTGCTCTTTTGCGGGTTCATAGCAGCTAATGTATATTTTGGTATGGCATGGGGCACATGTTTGATAAGAATATATCTTCCTCCATATGAGAGCGGCGTCCCTTAATTTCCATCTATTTAACCTCTCAATAATCTTGGTAATTAAGCATATCATCAAAGTGTGACAACCTTTTCCTTCCAACATTCACATAGCACCCCAAATATATGAATGTAAATTCCTTATTCTTTAAATCAAATGCATTCCTCATTCCGTTGGTAATGAATTAGAGGTTTTAGGATTTATGAGGAAGAAGCTCTTCTTCATGTTTACAGTTTGGCTTGATGATCTTTCATATCTTCTCACTTGTTTCATAACAAGCTTTATAGACTTGTTATTTCCACCACTGAATATAACTAGTATATCATTAGCATACTCTAATGAGCTAATGATTCACCTTATGGCCATTACAGTTCGTGGAGAAAAAAGTGCACTTGTCTAATTGATTCAGCTTGTTGAGAAGTCTGGACAGAACTTCAGAGCCCAGTATGAATAGAGAAAAGGAAAGGAGATCCAGCTTGCCGGAGAAGAACCCTTGTTTGGATCCATTATATTAATGAAAATGGAGTACCAAACATTAGATACAGCTCTCTATACCAAGTCAACAAATCCCTCTGAAAAACCAAATCTCCTTAAACACAGAAGTAAGGAAAAGCAAAGAGATCCTGTGATAGGGTTTGGCCATATCCTCTTTAATAACCATGTTGCCACCTTTGTTTGAGTTCTAACATGTCTTGAACTATCACCTCTTGTGCCAATAGTACATTTTCTGTTATGGGTCTATGTTGCCACCTTTGATTGGTTGTGAAATGTCTTGAACTATCCTGTTGTGCGAATAGTATATTTTCTGTTATGGATCTGCCTTGAACAAATCCAATGTAATTCTCACATATCAACTTAATTAGGCACCATGGGTTTAAGCCTTTTAGGTAGTATTCTTGCTGATCACCTTACATGTGAAATTGCTGAGTCTGATGGATCGCATCTCAGCAAAAAAAACGAGTAGGACATCTACCCTTTATTTCTACTTTTACTTACAAATGATTTTGAAAATCAAGCCCATTATTTCAGAAGATCAACACCCTCACAATCTAATCTAAAATCATATTACAACCATCGAAATATCTCAAGTCCTATCACCTTTTGTTTTTAGCATCTGTCATAGAAGCCATAAACGTAAAACAACATACTTAATTCATCTATCAAAAGAGATCACAAAAGTACATGAACACAACGAGAGTAGAAAGTTGAAGTAGTAAATTCACAAGAAAAACACCTTTATGGCTTATGTATGTATCAGCACAACCAATTAATAATGCTTTACAGAAAAAGGAAACTATTAACTTAGAACTTTTATTATGAAAAGCGACGGATACTTTTGGTCACTTTTTTCCAAGGATAAAGTATTTAGTTCAATAAAGTTCTTCCTGTTTTTAGTTTTTGATGATGATCTTTTTACATAAAGATGGAGATAAGCAAGATCTACCTAATATTTCAAACACGAAGAAACACAATTTGAGGTATGTAATTAACGGATAAATAAATTAAGATGTCGAAAATGGAAGTATATAGGTGGTCTTGCTACTTGTAAAGATTCTTCCTTGGAGAAAGATGTTTTAATCAATGAGAAAGTACTACTGATATAATGCTATTATGTACTCGAGTCTTATTGTGCATATCACGTCTAACCGAATAATTTAAGGCAACCTTTAATTTTCACAAAATCCGGATCCTGTTAAATCCAATGCATCACTTCTTTAATTTCAACTGTGCATCAAAATCAAGCAAGAAGAGTGCACATTTTGCATTATCCAGTTACTCACTTTGTTACAGTTTATGACTTTTTTTTTGCTTTTTAGAGTCAATTTGACTTTGTTCATGTTCGTTATTTCATGAATACTTGTAGCAATAACATATTTAGTAGGTGTGGCTATATTACTAGTAGAAGTTTTACAAGTCCAGTTAACCTCAAATCATATATTATTAAGGAAGTCAATAAAACTAAGCTCCTCAATAGTAAGCTAATAAACATTAAAAGGAAGGTTCAAGTAGCAATAGCATACTCTCTCAAAGCATTACTGACATAACTACTTCCATTATCCACATTAAACAACCACAATCTCTTAATTACACAAGCTATAGCCTCATTCTGTACAATCACTTAGCTTAAGCTAGCTCTTCACTCACTATCCGCACTTTTCCTACAGATTGAGATCCTACAAGACAGTCATTAAACAAACTAACCGACATTATAACAAACAGAAAGCGTGCAATAAAGGAATTAAGCATCATATCTAAACAAAGCATTTTGAACCATAAACTCTCGGATTATGAGCTCATCCTACTAATTAGATTTGAACTTCACTCGCTATTTGAATTTAATAGTAACTGTATAAGTATTAAACTGTCAATTATGTATGCCACATTATCCAGGTCAAACACATTAGTAAGATGCAAAATTGGAAGGTGAAAACTATTTAGCACGCAGATCTTGTTAATCTACATACATTAAAAATGAAACTAAAAAATCTGAAAATTTAATAAATTAAATTAGTAAATTTGATAAAAAAAGGAGATAGGGAAAAGCACCTGGTGCTAGAATATTCGTAGAGCCTGCCAGTGCTGGAGAAGACCATGACTCCGACCTCCGTATCGCAAAGGATCGCTAACTCCTTCGCCTTCTTCAACAATCCATTCCTCCTCTTCGAGAACGCCACTTGCCTGCTCGTCGAATTGTCAATCCTTCTTATCACTATCTTTCCTCTCCCCATCGCCGATCTCACACACTCTCTCTGATTTCTCTCTCTACAAATACACACAGTACAATTACACACCTATACGTACACATTTATGAGCTGTATATTCAATTTTTTCACATAGGAGAAAAAAATATATATTTCCAATGAAGACTTACCAGAGAAATTGAATTCGCGAGAAGCAGCAAAAGAGACGGCGAAGACGAAATCAGTGTTTGGATATGAGGAAAACGGAGAAAATTATCCCAGGAAACAGGAAGAGAAAGTAAGGAAAAACTTACGGTTAATGGAGACAAAAGGAGGCTTCACAATCGTCGTTTTGGGTCAGTCTTCTGATTGAATTTGCCTATATAAGGAATGTGTTTCTATACATCAAAATGGCGAAACGCGGAGGGGTGGGTAGGTGAAAAGGGTGGTGGAGTGCATTAGGGCGTTTCCAAAAAACCGCTATTCATTGGTTTTTGTAAAACCGATAGTGCTTTTGTGTGCTTGGATGCCACGTGGAGTAATTCTTTTGGCCAATTGGTTTAATTATAGGTCAGACTCGTACGAAAGTTTCCTCATTCGAATAGATTGCTGACGCGTGGTGGTCTTGCAATTAAAAATTAACTTCCCGCTTTAGGAAATTGCCTTTTCGAACTAGTGGTTGCATACTGACGAATTTGCCCTTTCTGGATTTGGGTGACTAATTTATCGAGTCCGAAACCTAAATGCCAACTTTTTGGACTCAAAACACATTTTTACAGTATATAAAAAAAAGTAACTTTTCTATATAAAACGCGGCATTACTTTAACGGAATTTTAGCCGTTAAAGTAAAGCGTAGTATATACCGCGTTACATATAGCGCGGTATTATATCGCGTTTTACTTCTTTTTGGGCCCACCAATAATTGTTCTGCGGTTAACAGATATAACAATAATCAAATATATAAAGCGCGGTATTATACAACGTTTTACATACAAAAATTCTACCCCCCGGGCTAGAACTTGCCTTATTTAAAGGCGTTAGGATTTTATGAAAATCCATTCAAAAAATATTCTAACTTCCGTTCATACTTTTCTTCTTGTTATCAAGCATTTTTTTATAATGTCTGAAGAGCCAAAAATAAGGGTTTCATTATATTGGGGGGAGGGGGGTGAGGTTGTATACTTTATCTCCACAGTGTCATGTTAATTAAATTGCCGCTTACAATGGAGTACGATAAATTGGTAACATTGATATATAAAAGAATGAGTGTGAAGAAACGTTCGGTGAACCTTAAAGTAACCGGTAGATTTTCGTATTTTGTGACTCCGCGGGGGTTTGCATATTATTCTGCGTTTAACATCGAAGATGATGAAACTCTTAGAGATTTTTTGCGGATTTCGGATGAATACGAGGAATTTATTGTAATAAAATTGTTGGAAATGTACGTCAAGGTTGAAGACATTCCCAATAATGAGGTTGTGCATAGTAGAGATAACTCCCAGTCATCGGGTGGTTATTCCGGAGCAGTTTTTGCCGGACAGATTCCTGATGAAAGAGTTTGCCTTAATTTAAACTTATCACCATGGCGAATGAGCAGCGAGGAAATAATTTTTTTACTTTACATAATTCACAAGATGACTGGTAAACTTCAATTTTTTTACGCTTTAGCGATGTTTATTTTATGTTGAATTGGAATTGTATTAACACTCATATTCCACAGGGGGCACCGTCCAGATATGAATTTTACAAGTTATGACCCCACTCCTAGTTGGAATATGTGTAGTTCTGGCGTGTTGGATCACGGTGGTCCATCCGGGAGTCATCCCCAACAAGAAAATATCCATCATGGAATGTCAACACAGTACGACTTGTAAGTGAAGTGATATAGTTATATTTAAAGTATTTATCAATTTGAGTAGCTTATCATTTTGTTCTTTTTGTGCAGCGAAAACGAGCAACTTGATGTTCCTGACCTCACACAGTTGCCCGTAAACAACGTATTGACTCGTGATTCGGTAGATGCGCAGAGTCAGGAAGATGATAGTGATTATGAAAACAATGCCGATGAGTTTGGAGATGACACACCCTTCCCTGATGAGGGTGATGATGAAGAGGAAGTGAATGTGGAACCTGAGCTGACGAGGGAGCATGCTCCTCCACCTCCCGTTAAACCAAGAGTGTACGAGTCCCACGTACCGTTTCATGAGCGGCATATTCCCTACCTTGATAATTTGCCAAGTATGCTTGATGTGGAGGCCCTCACAAGGGATGCTGACGAATTTCGGTCAGCAATGTGGGATGGGTCTAGACCAGCGGTGCTGGCAAAAAGCATGTATTTTTCTGATAAAGCTCGCCTAATCAAGGCTGTAAAAATCTACAGCGTAAGAGAGTGCCGTGAGATGACGGTAAGGGAGTCAACTCCGGAGGTATACAAGGCTGTATGACGTATAGACTTTATTGGTTGTAACTGGATGTTGCGTGCCAGCAAGAAGAAATCAGGGTTGTGGAAAGTGGGTAAATATATTAGTACCCACATATGTGAAATGGACACATCATCACTTCAACTTTAATGTAGACTTGATTCCATACTTGGAAGTGTCCATTAGGTTCAAGATCAAAGAGTGTATTACAGTCGTCCACCAGGAGTATGGGTGTACTATAACCAAAAGAAAGGCATATCTCGGTCGCAAACGTGCTTTTAAAATTATTTATGGTGACTGTGATAAGTCATTTTCATCTCTACCCAGGTACATGGCCGCACTAAGACACTTTAACACCGGGACTTTTGTTGAATGGAGGCATGAGCGGAGTCCGGGAAGACCAGAATATATTTTCAACTATGTGTTGTGGTCATTTAAACCAGCAATTGATGGTTTTGTGCATTGTCGTCCGGTAATTTCCATAGACGATACTCATGTCTATGGAAAGTATGATATTAAGCTTTTGATTGCAGTTGCAGTAGATGGCAACGCACAAATATTTCCACTAGTTTTTGCCATTTGTGCCAATGAAAGCGAAGAGACGTGGACGTTTTTTTTGAACCACTTGAAGTAGCTCGTTGTCAAACACCGTTCAGGTATTTGTCTAATATCTGATCGGCATGGTGGTATTTTAAGTTCTGTACGGCATTTGCCTGAATGGCAGGAACCCTATGCATACCACCGTTACTGTGCGAGGCACCTGAAGGCTAATTTCCAGAAGAAATATCCCGATAAGGACTTGCATGATTTAATGTGGATGGCTGCAACTAAGCACCAGCAGTGCAAATTCACGAAGCGCATGGAAGCGATCCAGCAGTTGGATCCACGAGCCTATACTTGGCTGATGGGACATGAGCTTCACATGTGGACATTGAATGCTGATGGTGGCAGACGACCGGGAGCCTTGACTATAAATATGTCGGAGTCATTCAACGGCTTATTGAAGTCTGCACGTGGATTGCCTCTCACTGCCATGGTCTAGTTCACCAACCGTGAATATGTCATGACGGCACCTGGTCCCCCTGACCAGGTAAGCCTAATATTTGCGGAAGTATAATAATTGCGGAAAAATAGAGAAAAATCAAATCAAATATCTAAAGGAAACTGTACTGAATGTCGCTTGGCAGGTACAACTCAATATCACAAGTCTAAAACAATTCCCAAAACCCGGAAACTCACGGGCAACACAGGCTACATAAATGTATAGTAAAGGTTCCAAACTCCAGAATTTCTAACAACCGAAGAAGGAAAATCTAAGTACTAAAGATAGAGTAAGAGGGAGACTCGTCGGTCTGCGGACGCAGCAGATCTACCTCGAAGTCTCTGTAGTCCTCCTGCCTCACTGATAGTGCGCCTGAGTAGAGGTACCCGGATGATCTGCACATGAAAAACATGCGCAGGAATGGCATGAGTACACCACAGCGGTACTCATTAAGTGCCAAGCCTAACCTCGGTTGGGTAGTAACGAGGAAGGTCAGGGCAGTACCGAGACAAAATATAGTAATAACAATAATTAACAGTATGATAATCTGACAGAAATAATAAATACAACAGTGAAATAAGACAGGTTAAACAAGGCAATGGCAAATACACAAGAACAGAACAACCACAGAATAAGTACAGCTCAATACCAATGGTAAAAAGGAGGATCTCCCAGGATACCGTCCCGTAGTCCTTTTCTCAACTGCCCAGTGGATCTCCCGGGATACCGTCCCGTAGTCCATCATATGTGTATATCCGAAGGATCTCCTGGGATACCGTCCCGTAGTCCAACTATCAATGTGCAAGCGGATCTATCGGGAATCTAACCCGCAGTCCCAAAGTAAAAGTGCAGGGGGATCTACCGGGAATCGAACCCGTAGTCCCAAAGTAAACAAACAAGGGGGGGGGGGCTACCGGAATCCGATATCCGTAATCCCAATGTAAATGCGCAATCACAACCAGAAGGTACACGGAAACGAAGTACAAAAGAGAAGCAACAGGTAGTACTGGCCTAGCATGCTTCACGTAGTACAGTCAAGGCAACTTAAGCAATTAGACAAGTTAAATCAACTAAACATGCTTTCCTAATCTAGCACAGATTACAATTGCAAGTAGAATAAAGCAAATATGAAAGGAACTCAATCTCAATATCTTAAGAAAACTGGATTTTCAACAATTGGCTCAAGTACGCGCTCGTCACCTCGCGTACAAGGCATTCAAATCAACAAATAACAAATCCTAAGGGGAAAGGTCCCCCACACAAGGTTAGACAAGCCACTTACCTCGAACCGACTCAATATCACTAGAAACCGCGCCCTTGCCACGAGTATCCGACTCCAAATGGCCCAAATCTATTCAATTCAATTACACATCGTGAATAATATTGCAAACAACTGATTCCACTATTAAATTTAAAGTTAGGGCAAAATAGGTAAAATGACCAAAATGCCCTTCCAACCAACGTCTCGGAATCGAATAATTTTCACGTTTTCAGAACCCTTGTACTCTCACGAGTCCAACCATATAAAAATCTCCCAAATCGGAGGTCAAATGCCCCCTCAAAACCCAATAGTTTGGTCTATGAACTTTCACCCAATTTTCATTCAAAATCCGAAATTTAAAGATGAAATCGTGATTAGATTAGTGGGTATTAAGCATAAAAGAGTAGAGAATCGTTACCCAATCGTTGCTCTTGAAAAACCTTCGAAATTTCTCCCAAATCCGAGCTCTCTAGCTTGAGTTTTGTTAAAAATGGCTAAACCCTCGTTTTGAAATGTTTATATCTGCCCAGGGATTTTGTTCTACGCGATCGCAGAAGTAGGCATGCGATCGCATAGAGAAAAAAAATGGGAAGCCCAGAAAATGGTCTATGCGAACACATAAGGAGTAATGCGATCGCAGAAGAGTAAAATTGGAAGGTCTAGAAATTGTTCAATGCGAACGCAGCCAAGGTATTGCGATCGCAGAAGAGGTGAAAGCTGAACTGTGCGATCGCGGACAGCTTATGC